CAGACAGCTGTCACTGCCACAGTCTTGGCTCATTGGGGCCGCATTGCGATAAGAATGGCAACTGCAGGTGAGTCCTTTGAATGACTTACGCTTTGCCTCGCGCCGCAGGAGCACTGCATTGATAAGCACACATATATTTGCGGAACGAACTGTACAGACATGAGAGCCACGGCGGTGGACAATTTGAAGACAGATTCCGCTATCACCAGTTGACTAGAAACCCACATTTATAAAGGCATTTCGGTCCGCAATCTTGGGGTTCCCCCCCCCCCTCTCCTTAGCTTCTCGACAGTGAGCGACCACGAGAGCAGCGGCAGCGATTGCCGTCGGTACGTTCTCCGTAGAATCCAACTGAGGACGAGATGCGTCGGCGATCATGCACGTCCAATTCCTGAGCCTCATGTAGGGCATCTTTGACGGCTTTGTCTACTACTGTATTCTCTAGTCTCACGAATACTCGCGTTCTAAGGAAATTCAGATAGGAGAAAGTCTTCAACAGCTAATTTTTCCAGATAATGCACTGTTTTAGGTTTTTATAACTCTATTAGCGGAAGCAAATCTTCCTTTCACCCATGCTTGTTTTCTTTTGTCCCTGGTCCTGTATCGCCCAAGTTATGCTCCCAGAGAGTTTGAAAACTCGTGTCTCTGAATTTTCATCGTTGTTTTTGAGAGGAACCCGTAAAACCTCTTTAGTGACCATGTCATAAGTAATCAATATCTACGAACTCATGTTCCGGTTCAAAGCCGGAGAATTACAGTGGCGATGTGTGTCTTCAAAGCACTGAGGCAATGCAGAGGTTGGGAACGTATCAGAGGGGTTCCCCACCAACCACAGGTTTTTCGTTGCGATGTGAGGTCCGAGCATTTATCAAGACTCAGCCCACAAGGGTGAACTAGCTAGAGGAACCAGGGTAGAGCATTGGAATGGACAGAATGACTCACTACAAACCAACTAAAGTACGCCAAGTACGACCTCACTCACCAATGCGACCCCACTTATCCAGCTAGCCATAAGAATTGCGACCCAAGATGGGAGTCTCCCAACAATGCTGCACCCGATGGAGAATGCCTGAACTATGTAGTGCACGCTCTCCCATCGAGCTGTATAGCTTTGGTTTTTATGAGTTTCCACAACTAGGGCCTAGGGCCTCCTTACTCGCTCTTAGACTCTTGCTGTCTTGATGAAGGAGCAGACGGTTTCTAACCATTTGTATTCAAAAAGATTACTAATGCAAATGGATTTTTGCAAATGGATTTTGCAAATGTCAATTTTATGTCAGGTGTTCACATATTCAGATGTCGCGCTGGTGTTGGTGGATCCAAATGCGATCACTGCCTCCCTGGTTTCTGGGGTCTGCACCTTATCGCAGCCGGTGCACAGTCATGCAAACGTAGGTTTCGCTAGATATTAAATTTATTCAAAAACTGAACAGTACCATCAAGTAAATCTAGGTCTCACTCTTTTACTGCCTATTCGTATTTTAGTCAGTTCAACACTTGAAGAATAAATATATAAGTTCAGTTGGCAGGTGTGAGGATCCGATTTCATTGTAGAATAGAAAAAGCCTGCAAATTGTATGACTCTGAAGCAGTGCCCTTTAGGAGCCAGTTATCTGATATTTACTCAGTAGTTTTATTCCTCCGACCAGACTGCGTTCAATTTCATGTGTGTGACGGGGTGAGAAGTCTCACCAAGTGGTTAGTATTCAAGTGGATGGAGGCAAATTGGAGCTTTTCTCTTTCTAGCGAGTAACCCAGGAGTATGAGTCGTCTTAAGAGAACTAGTTGTCAGTTGGCGGAGATCTAATACGAAGAGCAGAGATTCGATATGCTATATTTTGCATTTCTGTAGCTTGTAACATACCCTCGTCATCCGGGCAGTTGATTAGGGCGGTCGTCAACGGGCCGCAGCGCGTGCCAGGAACTATTTGCTTTTTCCAGACTAATTAGTCATTTTTCCAACTTTTCACTGTTTTGGCTACTTTTTTTCAGATTAGCAGCTCCTTATCTTCACAAGGTGGAAAAAATGACTAAATTAGCCTGGAAAAGCAAATAGTTCCTGGCACGCGCTGCGGCCCGTTGACGACCGCCCTAATCAACTGCCCGGATGACGAGGTTATTGTATCTCACTGGAGTGAAGTTATCATTTTTTCTGCTAACAAAACATGCAATCCGATTCCCGAGGAAGGGTTTTTTCTTCCTAGAAAATATGCAGTCCAATTCTCGAGGAAGGGTTGTGTAGGGGAGGAGGAGAGATATAAGGCGAGGACAGGTTATAGGACTGATGTGAGATGTCCGCCTAATTTCTCAATTTCAGGCTCGTTTTTTTGACGTCTCAATTGTCCCTTTTTCTGAGTCTCGGTTGTCATTTTTTCTTGGACGAAATGATCATGAAGTAACGCTGATGGCGCCTTGGATAAGGGATGGGTGAACGAGGAGGGGGGGGGATGGTCGAACATCGCTACACCTACTGGACCTTCCATCCCCTGATTATTGTTCAAACCGACGTCACACCTCTATTGATTGGAGGAGAAAAGGATGAGGTCTTTTCCGGTAGGCTTTTATCATTCCCTATTTGGGACTACGGCACACATTCCAATTCCATTCAGTATCGTACTTCCATTCAGGGCTCCCTGTATGCGGTCTATGCTATGACATGCGGGGGCCGGCCAATGTACAAGTCAGTTTTCTTCCTCCCAAATGAATGTGTGGGCAATTCATCGTTCCGTGAGGAAGAAAAGCTTAGTTGACCTAGGTGGGAGACGATCCGGGAGTCAATCCCGGACGCCGCACCTCTGCTTGTGCCACTTGTCGCTACACCATCCTGCCTCACTTTCGATGACAAGGAGAACGTTACGGTCAGGGATGCAGTACTGCGATGGGTAAAATGCGTATTGGGATGAATGCGTCAGTACGACTTCCCAGTGCTTCCCCTTAGCACACCCCTCCCCCCCCCCCTTCTCGACCTACCATGTTCTCAGTTCTTCTAACTCCCCACCCATTTCCACAAAATTGTTTGAGGCGAGGTTCCTTAGAGGAGTGCATGGCACACAAGAAACGGGAATGGCACCAAAAAGTAAACAATTGGAAAAAAGTCCCTTGCGAATTGGAAATATGCAGATATGACCTCCAGCGGGTTTCTCCCAATGCTGCTCACCCCGTTGAATGGATTTGTTGCATTCCTCAATAAATCGTGGTTTCAGCATGCGGCTGTTCGGCTTTCGGTTCTTCTCGCCCTGACTGTGAGCAATCCACTGGAAGATGTGAGTGTTCTCGAGGTGCTCTTGGGAAGAGATGTGACCGATGTGTGGACGATTACGTGATGACTGCTTCTGGATGCGTAGAGAAGGAGGAGTTCCGTGCACCGAGGTTTGGTTT